AATATTATGTGATGTTGGAATCCTTTTTTCAGGTTGTGATGCTGCCTCCAGAAGCATTGAATGACATCGTCCTTTGGCTTCATTGACTCTTAAAATCATATTTGGATCGTTGTTACTGTCCTTAATTGTCTTCATGGCCTCAAAAATAAACTTTCCGCCAAAGTCAACCTGCTCTATAGGCAAAGCATCACCATCTCTGCTGAGAACACCACTTTTAAAACTTTTGAAGAATAGATGAAGTTGCTGAACCAGCTCATCGGCATCTATACTGGTTGCTTGAAAAAATCCATTAACTTTCTCAAATTCCGTAACAACAGGGCATAAAAATTGAAAATATAGATAGTTTATAGGGTCTTTTAGCATATCTGAGATTAGGCGTGCTGTGTAACGTACACTGGCTTGAGCCTCTTGATCTGCAATTCCAAAATAGGCCTTGAGTTCATTCCAATTCATTAATATGTTAAATATTATTTTACTCCTCGCCAGCCAGCGTGTTTCATTGTACTTCTGGAATGGTTTTGGTAGATTTGAGCTCTCTGTTCCAGCATTAATTATGTCAAAGAGCTTCTTGTAGGCATCTCGACGAATCGTGCTTTTAGTGAACCATTTCGGAATCTTTTTCAATAGAAAGCCCAGATGTGATGGCATCAGTTCGAAGGCATGCTTGACACACAAAGCCAAAGAATGACATATACATTTCATTTGCAGGCAATTTGGGGCTTCCTCGACAATCCTCGACCAAAGAGAATTGTGCTCGCCAACCATGTTTGCTGCCCCATCACTTGCATAGCCAACACAGTCTTCGAGCTTTAACCCTGAAGTCACCAAGCATTCCTTCATTGCAGTAAACAGATCCATGCCAGTGGCGCTGATAATATCAACGAGGCCAAGAAATGCTGTTACTATGTTCTTTTCTTTCTTGCTGTAATACCTGACAGCCAAACACAAAAACTTCTTACAGGCAATGTCTGTTGACTCGTCAACCATTATACAAAACTTCTGGCCAGCCATGTCATTACATAAATCCTCGTATAAGGCCTTCGAAATTACATTAATAATAATGCTTGTGCATTTTGTACGATGCAGTCTCATCTTTGACAATTTGCTGCCTGTGCCATGGCGAACAATTATTTCACCCAGATGATCGATAGCAAGTATGGCTGAATGGCATGTTACTGACACTGCCATCTGTATCTCTATTTTCTTGACTACCTCATCTTCTCTTTCAATACCAGTAATTGTGCGATTACTTGCAATTGTAGAGGTAAGTCTTGAATGTTTTGCGGTATCTTGGTGCTTTTTCAAGCTTGATAGACGTGGCTGGCAATTTACTCTGCAGATAGAGCAGTATGCATCGTCTGACCCATCCACTGCCTTTTTCACCCATGGATACGCTCTTTGCCATTCTGGTTTGAATTTTCTACCATCGTCATAGGCTCCTTTCCATTTCATTCCTATCGATGACTTTTTTGAACTCATTTTCAAACAGTAATACAGACAATAGTTTTAGTAAACAGAATGATAACAAATTGCACACCAGTGAATAGATGTTTTAATTTCTATTGTAAAATCTCACATTATTATATATTTTGAAAAGGAAATACAAATATATTGTCCAATCAGCATTGGGAATCGAAAAATACGTACCTTCGATGTCATCCAATCGAAATCATCAATAGAAATGACGACATTCGACATGTGAACAGTATGCAAACATATTTACACATTGTTTCCTATCACCGACACCACACCTTAACATTAGCAAAGTTGCCGACATCACAGGGTCACACCAAGAAGTAAGTACTTTGTTCCGGTCACCCAAGTCAAGTGAATGAAACTTCGAGAAGTGTCAGGGAGAGGCACAGGGTGTCATTAACGGAATATTATCGAATTTGAAGGGAGAATGTCACGAAAAGATACTAAGAAAATGTCACAAACTCGTGAAGAGAAAATGTTCAAAAAGTGCCAAAAAATTGCCAAACTTTAGACAGTTGCCAAATCTAAATTTTTAGTTGCCAAACAACATGAAAAAGTGCCAAAATTGCCAATTTTGGCAACTAAATTGCCAAATTGGCAACTGTGGACATTGTTTTGCAACAATGCTCCTTCATTGACATGTCGATCATCACATGACTATCCTTCGCAGTTTTGTGCTCCGTAGAAAAACTTGATGACGACTCGCAACAATCTACACAACGGTCTACACTTTCTTTTATTCAGAATTCTCCATATTCTATGAAGCATTTTCCTAGTAAAGGTAACCAAAATTTGCGGAATGTTTGCCTATGTACGTTGGTTGTGCGTTTTCTGTCCAACAGCCAATATATTTAGCAAATTTAACAAATCTTTCCACGGTCTACACATTTTGAATGAGAAATATGAGCCAAGATCAAATCCTTTACATAAACAGCGTAGATCGTGAACATTTTCCTTTATTTCCAGGCACTCGTCGCGTAAACATTTTCGATTTTTTGCAGGCAAACTTCCTTTACAGAAAGCTATCCTTTGTGTATTTATTATCTTCACATTATCTCAAATGAAATTATTTTGATTCCCTGAAAGTTTGTAGACCGTTGTGTAGACCGTCAATCCATCCGCCAAGATGTTGTCTTGTCTTTGTTGTAATTGGTAGCCTCGTTGCTAGGAAGAGGCATTCTTATTGCATAACCTTTTATACGAATAGCATATTTCTCCAATATAGCAAGTAACAGTAGAATTATTAGTTACAAAGAAGACACATGTAAATTTATATTCATATGTAAATTTACATTTACTAATATACATAGCAAAACATTTATTAACTATAACTACAAAATTGGGCACATAATTAAGTGAAAGTTATGGTAAAAACAGCATAAAAAATAGTTTCTTTAATTACTAGTCAGTGTTACAGCAGTCAATACTTGGTTTGATACCCTCCATTTTTGGCTATAATTTTAAGACGATCATGCACCGTTGCTACCGTACGATCGATGATGGAGGAATCGAAATTGAAAAGTGTCTGCAAAACCCTAACACAGAATTCTTCAAAACTCTCTTTTTCGATCTTCAAATATAATGCTTCTTTTACCAACTGAGACTTCACATTGTTGAAAATATTTTCAATCGGATTCAAATCGGGTGATCTTGGGGGTATTTCTATGAGCTCTACATCGTGTAACGCATCGGTAGCGAGTTTGCTCCTCTGACTTGGATCATTGTCCATTAAAAAAATTGGCTTCTCTTTCTCCTTTGATATGGCACAATCAATTAGTGTAGGATGTAAAGTTTTGTGAACAAATCTTGCAAACCATTCTGCATTGAATTTTTGATATTCTTCTGCAATGACAACGCCGTTTGTGAACCCAACACCAACTATAAGATGGAGTCTCCGCCCTTCAGGTAAGCTTTTGGACCCCTTTGTGGTGTGCTTGAGACCTTCATTGGATCTTCTCCAAATTCTCCCTCTTGGCATCAAAGCGTCTCTATAGGGGTTACGTTTGTGAACAAAAGAAACACCATCCAAATAGAGAAGGACGTCGCCTGTCCAGAATTTCCGATCATATTTTTGAATTGCTTGCCTGGCATAACATTGCCTCCTCCTTCTGTCTTTTTCTGACAGCAAACCTTTTTGTTGTGGTTGTAAGCATCTATATCCATTTTCGTTCATTAATCGCACCAGGGTTCTGTAACTGACTTTGGTTACACTGCATTCTTTTGCAACATCATGTACAGTTACGTTGGCATTTTCATTCCTTAGCTGCTGGAATGTCCTTATGAATCGCTGCTTTTCTCTTCTGCTCATAATTGGTGGTCGGCCCGTTGTCTTTTTTTGCTTTTTTATGGCCAAAGCTTCCTTGCATATGCGAACAACACTTGATGGCGATATATGACATTTTTTCGAAATTTCTTGATATGATAAAGAGCCCTCAACTCCCAAATAATATGCATAGGCTCTCGTTTTTGAGTTGATTTTGCCACGGAACACCATTGCACCTTCTCGATTATTGCTAAGGTTGCAATGGACTTGAATTTATATACATTTCATTTCAACACAATTGCTTATGAATGCACGTCACTCTTTTTTGTTTTCTAATCCATTTGTTACTGAAAAATCAATGGAAGCTAACTGAAGTATTTGACGTAAATGACGGTCTTGGCCCTTTACGTAAGAATGTGTCAATTGGAAGAAATAAACAAAGAGAAGGTGTAGCCTGTTTACTTATTGTTTATATGTGTTGCTAGAGAGTTTCATCTCCTGTTGAATTGCTTTAATAGATGCCATAAGAAACCGTAAACAAATACAAATTATAACATAAAGATAATGGAACCCCACTTGAAAAAGAGAAAAATGCAACCCCCTACCATTATCACAATAAGGTGTTAAAAAACAGTTGTTTCGTCATCGGCAATGAAATCAGCGCCCTCGATTACCCTATGTTCGGAAAAAGTTGCGGGTTTATATCTTTCAGTTTGATGTATAAAAATCAGACAATGCCTGCCAAAAGTCTTGGAACACTTGCTACAATTTACGTTGTGCAAGAGCTGCAACATCCCCTCCCCCCTTGTACAATGTTGTGCCACGGAAATATGAATAATCCTACATGTACAAGTGATGCATTTTTACATAGCTATGGTTTTCAGCTAGCGAATCAACATTGTATGTGGGGGAAGGGGGGCAACACCCTGCTTGTTGACATGGAAATAGAAAGGAACACGCGAATTCGCAGAAATCTCAGGGTGTTCCAAGGACTTTTGGCAGGCATTGTAGTACTGGTTCTAATAAGACATGGTGTTCAAAGAAAGGATGCTCATGATTTAGTGTACTGTTTTGACAGCAAACTCTTTCTCTTTCTGTTGGTGTCTCCCTACAATTACCACATAAGCACCATGGGATTTGCAGTTTTTCTGTATTTTCTTCTTTTTCCAATGTGTTGCCTTCATCTCCATTGGAAATAATTTTATTTATTGTATTCCACAGTAATAGGATATGCTTTGCCATGAGGCAAATGCGTTCTGCAATTTCTTCTTTTTCAAAATTGCTGCACACTACCTGAAAAGGACATTCTTATGCTGATAGGAAATTTAAGAGTTGTTCAAGCTCTTATTTGTTTTGTTAGGAGGAGCTCTTGGAGATCAAATCTTTTTGAATATATCGTGTTTTAGTACAAAGTTGAGATCTATCAGTTTTCCTTTATTGATAATTGCATCCAAATGTGGGATTTAATTTATTGATATTTGCATCCAAATGTGGGATTTGGAAAGAGCTGCCATACCTTTGCCTCATTATAAGCTGCATCTGCTATTTTAGTCTGCTCCATTCTTAACTCAATTGGTCTCAACTGTCTACGCTGTTTGGTAGCATTTCTATATGATGATATATATTTATAACAATGAGCCTCAATTTATTGGTATGTATAAAATTATTCAAAGTTTTGAAGTTAGTCTCCGTACAATTGTCTTAAAGTTCACGGAAAAGCATTAGCTCTCTAGCCCAGCATGACAGACACTCAAATTGCCACAAAATGGCTAAAAAGCTAAGCACCTCGATATCAGATAAATAGCTTCAGAGATTGAAAAGTAAACTGAAGACATCACTGTTGTGAAGTCAGTATATTTCGCAGCCCATGCCATCATGGGGGATTCCTACTCGTCCCAGTCTTGTTACGTGTTAAGATGCTACTGTGTCTTCATCCCCTTTCCTTCTTCTACTGTCTGCTAAACAGTTGTATGCACTCCAGTGTAGCATTTTCAGCTTTTAAATGTTTGAAATGGAATGAAATACGAGTGACAGAATAAATTCAAGACACGTTTTTAATACTGTTTGGTGATCGCATGCAAATGCAGTGATCATCTTTGACGTCACAATAGGGGGATTAATTCTCGAACACGAAAGAGATCTGAAAATTTTCACGCAAAGAACGAATAATTGCACAATTACTCGAAATTAATATACCATAGCCAAAAAATTCTTTCACGATGACTTTTTTCAACTTTAATTACCCCTTTCTACTGTACATTGTAAATATCCCGGACTTCTCCTTTAAAGAAATTGTTAGCCATACGAGGAGGAGATAGAACCTCCATTACGAAGCCACAGCTCCACAGCTCTTCTTGAAGAACTAATTAATGATGATGGAGAACAAGTTGAGAAGGTGATTCATTCAGAAACGATACAAAAGTCTCTTCGAGAAAAACAAGCATACGTGAACAGACTAAATGAAAAGATACTGGAATTATGTCCAGTCGCCAACATCGAAAAATAAGTTGATGAAACACTGGAGCTGAATTTCAGAATCAATGAAATTCTGGGAAGAATTCAAGCATTCAAAGACGGTCTATGCTCTCAGACCAATGCATTCGGAGTTGGGAGTGGAACGACACAAGTTATCATGTCAATGCCTTCAAGAGAAGGTGACAACGTTCAAAGAGCAACAAACAACGACCATGGTCTCAACACAAGCGGGGTTACCATGGGTTCTGTTGCCATTTGCCTGCCAAAAATAACGCTCCCATGATTTAAAGGAGATATTACATGTTTTATGTCCTTTTGGTAGAGTTTTGAAAATGCAATTGATAAAAACGAAGGCATAATTGTGGTTGATTAGGTCAACTACTTGGTGAATTTGTTGGAGGGTCCAGCATACCGTGCAGTATCAGGAATTGAATTGACGGAACAAAATCATTTCAATCCGGTGGAAATTTTAAAGGCGAGATTTGGCAATAAACGTGAAACGTGAGAAAAAAAACATGAGAATAAACAACAAAAAATCTCAACGCACATGCAGGCTCTCCTTGGGCTACAAAACTGCCCAAACGAAAACGTGAAGCAATTGTGTTTCATTTACAACAACATAACTGTATATGTAAGGGGGCTTGAAGCCCTTGGTAAGAGTTCTGCAAGGTATGGCAGTTTGTTAGTACCCATCCTTGTGGCAAGAATGCCGCGAGAAATTACGTTGGATGTTGCAAGAAAAATGACCGAGGAAGTGTGACCGATTAAAGAAATATTGGAGATTGTCAGAAAGGAAATTGAAGCCAGGAAATTGAGTGATAACATCAAGCTCGTCAAAAAGAAATGTGACAAACCATTAGGATATCAACCAAAATCACCACAAGGCACTACCAAGACATTTTTGCCGAAAAAAAAATGCTTTTGTGGACATGCACACTCTCTGTCAAGCTGCAAAGAAGTCCAGGAAATAACGGATAGAAAAAAGTTCCTACTGGAGACTAAACAATGTTTTTCCTGCTTGAAATTTGAACATATGACAAAAAAGTGTCGGGAAAGTCGCAATTGCAAAAAATGTGGCAGAAATTTTCATCACAAATAAATTTGCTACAAAGGAGCAAAACAAACGAAGGGAGTAAAAAAAATAACTACCAGTGTCAAAGGAAAACAAGAAGTTTTGCTGCAGAGGGCCACTGCGTATGTTTATGGGGCAGACAAGGCTCAGAGGATGGAAATCAATGTTTTCTTTGAAAGTGGGAGCCAACGAAGCTACAGCTCTGAAGAAGTCAGACGAAAATTGAATCTGGAAATTGAAAGACAGGAAAAAATAAATTTGAATACATTTGTACTGAGAAATCAGTACACAAGAAATGTGACATCGTAAAGTTAAATTTAGATACAGGAATAGATGAGACGCCAATTTTGATAAGCGCAAAAAGCTATCAGTCTATTTTATCGCCTATAAATACGTGCATAGATGTAAGCAAGTAAAAGCATCTGTTAGGCCTTAATCTAGCAGACGAGAGGCTAAGCGAGCAAAATAGGTGCATTGATTTGCTTATTGGCAATGATTATTTGTATGATATAATCATTGGTGATGTTATTAGAGGTACATCAGGCCCAAACGTTGTAGAACTTTAGATCAATGGTGGAATTTTGTCAATGTATTAGGATTTAGTAGATAGTTGAATTAATGAATCAGCATATTCGAGACAGCAACCAGGATAGCTTGGTTGGTTGCGCATGATCACTACGGATCACAATGCTGGACAAGTATTCATAACGTAATTAGGTGCAAATAGTTAATCGTACAACACATTGGAAATCAGAAACGCATTGCATTGGAGCATATAAGTAATTGTTACAAACCCCTTAGAATATTTGGACTTGGATCAGGATTTACTGGGTAAATCAACCGGAGGAGTATGTTGTGAAGTTAAGTTTTGGTATTACGTCTGCAATTAAGAGAACAGTAGCACGTGGTAAGTGCAAAGGTCATTATGCATATAAGGTTATAACGGAAACACACACATATAGGTGTAGTAGATACTGCAGCAAGAATTGTAGTTAATTATGAGAAAGAGCTCCAGGAGAAAAGATATATTTTAGAGACAGCCACTCCCTGGGGCTGCATATAAATATAAAAGGTCATCATGGTGTCTTCAT